TACATTACATAGTACATAGTATATTATTCTGATTAGAATAATTGAAAAACATTACTCATACCTCCTTACTAATTCAGAAAGTTAAAATTAGAATACAATTTTGTAAATATTTATACAATAATAAATATTAATGGAATACTTTTTTGTAGGTCAAATTAATGATAGTGCTGAAGAATCACACTCAAGCAATGAACGGTTTCAACTAATGATTATTTAGTTTGGATTCTGGATATTCTACATGTACCGATATATAATGTTATAGTCTACTTTGATTTTTGTTTGTTGAACTACTCAATTAGTTCCATATTTCGTGTTCGAATATGATACATGATATATTGCACATATTTAATGATATAGTCTATTATTATATGTTCTATATTGATGATACTGATATCTTATTGAAGTGTATAATTCTATTTTTAATAATTTATAAGTGTAATATTCTAATATACATTTATAAATGATGATGTAATTGAATGTGTTTTCTTACTATGACTAATATTCTAGATTTGATTATTGTTATGTGTTATATTCTACATTGATATTTGTTGTTGATATAATCAGTAGTGTTATATTTTAAAAGCTCATTACGTATAACTTCTGAAAACTAACAACATATAACATGATTCTAATAAAATGTTCTACATATACTACACATTATTTTCATGTATAAATTAACTTATTTATTTAAAAACCTATAACATAATTCTATTAGAATAGATAACATATAACATTACTCTATTTGAATATCTACATATACATATTATGTTTAATTAATAAATGAAATTATTTAACAGAAACCTATAAAACTTATTCAATTAGATTATCAGTATGATACATCATGCGTTAGATTCAAATGAGATGACCCTAATATTCTATGTATAACTTAAAATATCCGAGAACATTATTCTATCATAATATTCTACATATAACTTTTGAAAAGAGGTCATATATAAGATTATTATATTAGAATGTTTTATATAACACATTATTTACATGAGTAATCAACTATTCATTGAAAACTTAAACATTATTCTATTAGAATATTCTACGTATAACGTTGGAATATCCCTAGAACATTATTCTATAAGAGTATAAAAACAGCCAAATTTTAATTAAGAAATATTCTACATAAACTTAAATATCCGATACCTTAATGCTAATAATATTCGAATAGAAGATTATTATATAGAATATATATATAGATATATATTATATAGAAAATATATATATATAGATATAAGATAATATTATATATATATCTATATATATAAACTTATTACAGGTGTTAAATCAATTTATTTAATTGAAACTTAGAAGATTATTCTATTAGAATATTCTACATATAATTTAGAATATCCTAGAGTATTATTCTATAAGAGTATAAAAAAATCTAATTTAATTAAGAAATATTTTATTAGAATATTCTACATATAACTTAAAATATCCAATAACATTATTCTATCATAATATTCTATATAAAACTTTTGAAAAGAGTCATTTACAATATTATTATATTAGAATATTCTATAATATAACACTTATTTGCATGTAGTAAATCAACTTATTCAATTGAAAACATAGAACATTATTCTATTATAATATTCTACATATAACTTAGAATATCCTAGAACATTATTCTATAAGAGTATAAAAAAGCCTAATTTCAATAGAATGTTATATATATAAACTTTAAATATAAACTCATGTAATATGAGAAAGATGTTACTGACATTACATGACACAAAAATAAAACATTACAAGTACCATTCTTGTAAATACATAACGAAATATCGATATTATACATCATATATTCTAAAATTACAACTATAATGTCATATGTACTTGTTCATATTTTGTTGACGCATCTTGATCATATGACAAGCTATCAGACGAGGTATCATGAAGTATGACTTTTTTTTGCCTTTATATATTTCCGATGATAGAAATTGTTCAACATTCTTTCTTTTAGGATAAAAAACTCCTTTTTCCCTTCATTTAGTAGTTTCTTCATTTCAACTGTATCAAAACATAAACCATACTTTTATTAAAACAATAAAACTAGGATATAAACAAACAATTTATTATACCAGAATATTCTAACATTCTGACAATAATTAACAATATGAAAATTGTTTAATAAATAATTTACAATTAGACAATTTTATTTTATTTTCACATTTAATTTTACACAAGTCTAATATGATCCAGACATTATTAACAATACACAAAGTAAAATCTATGAGATAAAATAACATAAAAACATAACTATCCACATGGTACTTTCTCCAAATAAAGTTTATATTCCTTTAATTTTGATTGTAATATCTAGTATAATTCAAACAAGAGATTTAATATTATATAATATACAAAAGATCAGATAACCTAATCACCTAATCAAACCTTTATGTTAATAGACACCACTAACCTAAACCAACAATTTCATTAGCTTTCGATGTGTATCAAACACTATTCCTAGCTACAGTAAAAAAATTTAAAAATATTTAACCAAAACTACAATAAAGAAGTTAATTTCTAGCCCCAACTATAGTGAATTTGGATCAAACACTAACCATAACTATAATATAAATTTCAGAAAAATAATTCATAAATTTGAATAAATAGAATAATAACTTCCTGAAGCCTATTACAAAAGATGATTTAGAATCTACATTATCTAGAATCCAAATCTGAATCAGATATTATTGAACTAAAACATAAAGAGATGAATTCGATTATGTCAAGATAGAATAACAAATTCTCAAAAAATATTATAGTTTCGACTTATCAAAGTAAGCAGTAACATCTGGTTAATCAATAAAATAACATCTGAAATCAAATTTATAAAGTAACACCTAACTCAACAAATCAGAATACCTAGAATATTAAGTTATCAAATACTATTTTACTTATATTTTTACTGGATCATCTAACTAATCAAACAAAGTAATATCTTAATCAAATTAAGAAGTACCATATGACTTATCAAACCAGAATACTAGAATATCAAGTTATCAAACAATATTTCACTAAATTTTTACTAGATAATCCAATTACTCAAACAAAATAACATCTAAAATCAATTTAGGAAGTAAGTTATGGCTTATCAAATTAGAATAAGTAGAATATAGCTGCATCATTTTATAAATTCAATCAACAGTCCTCATTCCATTGCATCTCATTTTATAAATTCAATCAACGGTCCTCATTCCATATCATAAATTAATTCTAGTATATGAATTAGCTTCGACTTATCAAATTAGGAAGTAAAATTCTGATTAATTAATAAAATAACATCTTAAATCAAATTAGGAAGTAACATCTGATTTATCAAATTAGAATACCTAGAATATCAAGACATTAAACACTATTTTACTAAATTCTTTTTTACAAGATCATATAATTATTCCAACAAAGTAACATCTGAAACTAAATTAGAAATTAACATTTGACTTATAAAATCAGAATACCTATCAAGTTATCAAAAACTATTTTAGTAAATGTTTTGCCAAATCACGTAACTAATCAAACAAAATAACAGATTTGGTTTTAGAAAAGCAAGAAAGTTCAAGTCCCCAAAACACAAGACAATTAGGTTTTAACAAAAAAATAAATTTGATATGAAGTTATAGCTGAAATACCTGTAATATCTTGACATGGTTTGGTAATAATGTCCTCAAGATGATCTTATGGTGTAGATTTTGAATCATGTTGTGTTGATGTAGCCATTTTTTATGATAAAAGCCTATGTATTCTATTTTAACATGAAATAATCAAACGAAAGATAGATTCCCACATAAAAAACATAACTCATTTGATCGGTGAATAAAAATAACATATATATGATTTAATCCTCAAAATAGATTAAAACAGTGAAGGAGAAGACACAAACTTAGCGAAATTAACTCTTTTTTTGAAACAATGAGTTAATTTGGAGAATGACTAAAAATGTGGATACGATCTAGGGTTTTAATTTGACTGACTAGGGTTTTCCGAATTAGAATATGTAGATCACGAATTATTCAGCAGGTTAATTACACAATCTGAAATCTAAAGGTTTGAATTAATACCTGTTTTGCGAAGTAAAGTAGCGTATAATCATAATATGCTTTTGTAGAATGAGGCATTTCCCTGATTGTTTCAATGTGTTTATCATGGTGAAGTGTAAACCAGATTAAAACCGAAAACAAATTGTTGAATTTAGAAAGAGATGAAAGATTTATGAATCAATTCTAGGGTTTTGAATGCACAAATATGAATCGAGACTACATTTGAGTTCATCTGTGAAGAGGGTTTTTTTGGAGGAAGCAAGATGTAACATGAAAAGATATTGAATGACGGTGGATTATATTGACGGATAGAAGGTATATTCTCAAAACTACCCCTTTGTGTCCTTCCTTTAATCCTGAAGTTTGATCAAATTGCAAAATTGCCACCGCCCCTATTGTTTTAATTTGAGTTAATTCTACCCATAGATTATTATAGATTAGTGGTTCAGATTTTGTCTCCATGTCTCACAAAATATCATTGTCTCACATGAACTCAACCCTATATATATATATATATATATATATATATATATATATATATATATGTATATATATATATATATATAGATATATATATATATATATATATATATATATATATATATATACTAGCCGTTTACCCGCGCTAAGCGATGAGTGTGTTTTTTTTTTTAGAAATTAGTTTGTAGATACGATTAGTGTTTTTGCTTAAATAGTTCATTAGATTATATTTTTATTTTATTTTTGCTTAATAACAATATTATAAAACATTTTCAATTATAGTATGGGTTTTCTTTATATCAATGAATAATTTTTGACGGCACAAAGACGTATGTATATATATATATATATATATATATATATATATATATATATATATATATATATATATATATATATATATATCTTTACTATATTATTAAACATATTCCATATTTTTTGAAAATTAAGAGGTACAATACCTATTACCTCATGTACAATAATATTAAGCTTATAATCACATATACACGGTATTATCTTATCGTATAGGTATACAAGATATATCCTATGTTACCCTAATCTTCTCTCAACACTACACACAACAGCCGCCATCCAAGGAAATCGAAACCCTCTTCTTTCCGTCTTCTTCCTAATCGCCTCCACCGTCTCTCCCTGACCTCGGATGGTACGCCACAGGATCTTCGAAGGTGCACGAAAGTGAATGGGATCTCTTCAGTGCGCACGACGGTGACCTACTGTCCATTCACCTGCCAAGCTTCCGCCTACGTCGTCGTAGTAGCCGGATGGGCCACCGGACTGAAACTCGACAGCGACTCTGTTGGAATGGAATACAACACTCACCGCAACATAGGAATCACACTTTTTGCCCTAGGAACCATTCAGGTATGCAAATATCCCTCCGATCGCACATCAGATGCGTCTTTGTTCCCTCCCTGCTATAAAGCCCACCGTCATGAGTATTTTCCAATACAAACTCTAATCCATTTTCCCTCTCTTAGACGAAGACATTGAGTTTTTCTGGAAAATAATTTTGCTTTTCTTTCCTTTTAATGATTTTGATTAGGTGTTTTGATCGGTTGCCGGGTGAGATGGACGACCGGCGGTTTAAATACGGATGGTTCTGAAGCTGCAGCAGATTTGCAAAGAAGTCAAACGATCTGCAACACATTCCTTCGGAAAAGTGAGTTTAGTTTCACACTTAATTTTTGGTTGTTTGCTTGTTTGCTTCTGACACATGGCAAACTGTGATTGGTGGGTCAGGCCGCCATTGAACCTTCTGCGGCAGGAGTTAGCGGGAACTTGTATTTATCTGGATGTTTTTCTAACAACGACTTGTGGGGTTGAGAAGGGAGAGGTTGATGATGATGTGGCAGTGAGAGTGAAGAGTAATGCTGAAGAGAAGCTTGTGTCATTTCGGATCTGGTTCACTCCAGCAACAGATCCCACGATCGAAATATATTTTTTGTTTTCTGGGGTTTTTCAAGATATTTGTTTGGGAACAGGAAAACAACTGCAGAAATATCCTACGTCTAATTTTTTCACGAGTATAACGTTTTGAACTAACCAAGGAAGCTAAAAAGGGGCAATTTGGTAATTTTAAATTTATACCAGTAGAAATGGTACAGTTACAAAACATTATCTCAAAAGGTAATATGAAAATTAAGGTAATTGATGCTCTATTTTTTTTTCTGTGGAAATATAAATTATGTTTTTCTGATGTTTGTATGTGATGTTTGTGTAAGAGATATGTGTGTTTATGCTACGTATGTTGGATGTGAAGGGAATTCAGTGTATTGTTGCTACGAGTTTGTGTTGTTAATTTTATATTTGCTTTATATCTCAATATATCTATTTGGTAGAATCTTACTAGAAATTTTGATTCAACAAGATTTTGATTCTGTGGGCATATGGTACGAGTTTGATTCTGCAAGAGTGAGATGGAACAAGTTTACTTTTAGCTCTATTTAAAAGATTAACAATTTAACATCTCTATTTCGATGAGTGGGTACGGGTTTGTGGTTGCGATGCTATATCTCGGTCACCATTCACCACAAAGCTCTCTCTCTCTCTCTCTCTCTCTCTCTCTCTCTCTCTCTCTCTGTGTGTGTGTGTTTTTAAAACATTTGCACATATATTGTTTTTGTTTTTCAGCATGAAAACATTTGATCAATTTGTTTTTAGGAAACTATTATTTTGAAGAGGAAGGGTCAACAAAGGAGAACTGAAATTTTCATATTTGACATTGTTGATTTTGGTCAAGCCTGTGAAAACAAAGGTTAAAACATGCATGTTAAGTCTCTAATGGTGAGTTACCTTTTAGGTTACTATGATTTAAATAATCTTTGGATATAAGATGACATATTTCAGTTGTTATTTGCTTTACAGATGTTGATTTTGAGGTTTTAAGTAGGAAGAGACTTTAATTTTTGAAAGATTTGAGTAATTACCCATCTGTCCTCCTCAACACATAGTGCTATGTCAATTTTATGTTGCAAAATAACTCATTTTCATGGCATCTTGACCATGAGGTTGTCATATATAAATTCCTTTTTGTTTATGGTGTTGTCATTTACTGTTAAGAAGTCGTTGTCATTTACTGTTAAGATGGTGCTCTATTTTTCTTTTCATAGGTCCAATGACAATAGTTTTTCTTGATATTTATGGTTTTTTAGGAAATATTCTTGTCCCGGTTTTGTGAACTGGCGTCTGGATTTATGAGAATCTTCTTTTATTGTAAATGAATGAATCATTTTTCCATTATTAGTATATTGATTTTGGATGGTAACTATTTATTAAATATTAATTTGTCCTTTTTTTCTTAAAAGTTTATGAAAAGAAAAAGCTATGTTCTGCATAGAACTATATATGTTTTTTTTTAAAGTCAAAGAGAACTAGAATGTTAAAGTTTAACGTTTGATTTTTCATTAAGGTTGTAGCTATGGTGTTACAGATAACAAACCCTTTCAAGCGCGCTATAAGTAAGGAGATGAGTTTGAGTTTGTCTTTGAATTGCTCGCTAATATTCAATTTAGTTTATATTCAACCTTTCACCATTTTTTTTAATTTCAGGGGACTTTTATGGTCTTACAACCTTAAGTAACCTGAATTCGTAAAGCTTCTTCTATCCTCTCATGTTTACCATCATTTTTGAATTTCCATAAAAGTTCGTGTGTAATTTCTTATTTTTTAAACCTTATTGATATTATTTTTACTATGTTGAATGTTTTGGTTACATTGAACATTTTACATCTACAGCTTGAAATTAGTAAGCCTATTATAACACACAAATAAGTAAAAGGATGATGTTTTAATGAACACATAGGTAAAGGTACATTTGCTATCATGATTGTTGATTTCTTTGTTACTAGACAGTCGAAACAATTAATGACTTTGAATTTCGGTCCAAACTAACTTGGGTTTTGGTTAAAACTTTAGCTTTAGTTGATGTTAAGATGTGCAATGCATTATCTGCACAAGGTCAGTCAAAGTTAGCTAAGTACAATACTTTCGAAATTAAATGCGAATTAATTTTGAAGTTTTAAGTTGACTTTATCTTTTTATCTTTGACTGTATTAAGGTACAATGCTTTTATCTGCACATGGTGAGTCAAAGTTAGGCTATAAATACAAACTCAGAGAAGATGAATGACAACATGGGTTGTGAAATCGGAGTGAGTGTTTTATCCATTGAAGAAGAAAAAGAGGTTTAACAATAATTGATGAGAAATATGAAAAATGCCATTTTGTTGATTTATGTTTGTATGTTTCTGTAAGTGTATGTATGTATTTCACAATTTGACACTTCTTGTAAGATTTTGGAATTAAAAGTTTCATGTTGTCAATTACATTTTGTTACACACTTATAGCTTTGTTTATATTTACTATTACGTTAATAAAAAATACGAAAAACAACATTTAATGTTTGGAAAATAACATTCAAATGTTATTGTTCTTTTCCTATCGTTCGGTTCCAAGATTGTTAAAATAAATGAAACGTTTCGTAACACTAATAAAACTTAAATGTTTATTTATATTAAATAAAACTATAACTTAAGTAATATATATATATATATATATATATATATATATATATATATATATATATATATATATATATATATATATATATACTAGCCGTTTACCCGCGCTAAGCGACGGGTGTGATTTTTTTTTTAGAAATTAGTTTGTAGATACGATTAGTGTTTTTGCTTAAATAGTTCATTAGATTATATTTTTATTTTATTTTTCCTTAATAACAATATTATAAAACATTTTCAATTATAGTATGGGTTTTCTTTATATCAATGAATATATTTTGACGGCACAAAGACGTATGTATATATACACACTTATAGCTCTGTTTATATTTACTATTACGTTAATAAAAAATACGAAAAATAACATTTATTGTTTGGAAAATAACATTAAAATGTTATTGTTCTTTTCCTATCGTTCGGTTCCAAGATTGTTAAAATAAATGAAACGTTTCGTAACACTAATAAAACTTAAATGTTTATTTATATTAAATAAAACTATAACTTAAGTCATATATATATATATATATATATATATATATATATATATATATATATATATACACACGTCTTTGTGCAGTCAAAAATTATTCATTGATATAAAGAAAACCCATACTATAATTGAAAATGTTTTATAATATTGTTATTAAGCAAAAATAAAATAAAAATATAATCTAATGAATTATTTAAGCAAAAACACTAATCGTATCTACAAAATAATTTCTAAAAAAAAATCACACCCGTCGCCTAGCGCGGGTAAACGGCTAGTGTGTGTGTATATATATATATATATATATATATATATATATATATATATATATATATATATATATATATATGACTTAAGTTATAGTTTTATTTAATATAAATAAACATTTAAGTTTTATTAGTGTTACGAAACGTTTCATTTATTTTAGCAATCTTGGAACCGAACGATAGGAAAAGAACAATAACATTTTAATGTTATTTTCCAAACAATAAATGTTATTTTTCGTATTTTTTATTAATGTAATTGTAAATATAAACAAAGCTATAAGTGTGTATATATACATACGTCTTTGTGCCGTCAAAAATTATTCATTGATATAAAGAAAACCCATACTATAAATGAAAATGTTTTATAATATTGTTATTAAGCAAAAATAAAATAAAAATATAATCTAATGAACTATTTAAGCAAAAACACTAATCGTATCTACAAACTAATTTCTAAAAAAAAATCACACCCGTCGCTTAGCGCGGGTAAACGGCTAGTATATATATATATATATATATATATATATATATATATATATATATATATATATATATATATATGACTTAAGTTATAGTTTTATTTAATATAAATAAACATTTAAGTTTTATTAGTGTTACGAAACGTTTCATTTATTTTAACAATCTTGAAACCGAACGATAGGAAAAGAACAATAACATTTGAATGTTATTATCCAAACATTAAATGTTATTTTTCGTATTTTTTATTAACGTAATAGTAAATATAAACAAAGCTATAATTGTAACAAAATGTAATTGACGACATGAAACTTTTAATTCCAAAATCTTACAGGAAGTGTCAAATTGTGAAATACATACATACACTTACAGAAACATACAAACATAAATCAACAAAATGGCATTTTTCATATTTCTCATCAATTATTGTTAAACCTCTTTTTCTTCTTCAATGGATAAAACACTCACTCCGATTTCACAACCCATGTTGTCATTCATCTTCTCTGAGTTTGTATTTATAGCCTAACTTTGACTCACCATGTGCAGATAAAAGCATTGTACCTTAATACAGTCAAAGATAAAAAGATAAAGTCAACTTAAAACTTCAAAATTAATTCGCATTTAATTTCGAAAGTATTGTACTTAGCTAACTTTGACTGACCTTGTGCAGATAATGCATTGCACATCTTAACATCAACTAAAGCTAAAGTTTTAACCAAAACCCAAGTTAGTTTGGACCGAAATTCAAAGTCATTAATTGTTTCGACTGTCTAGTAACAAAGAAATCAACAATCATGATAGCAAATGCACCTTTACCTATTTGTTCATTAAAACATCATCCTTTTACTTATTTGTGTGTTATAATAGGCTTACTAATTTCAAGTTGTAGATGTAAAATGTTCAATGTAACCAAAACATTCAACATAGTAAAAATAATATCAATAAGGTTTAAAAAATAAGAAATTACACACGAACTTTTATGGAAATTCATAAATGATGGTAAACATGAGAGGATAGAAGAAGCTTTATGAATTCAGGTAACTTAAGGTTGTAAGACCATAAAAGTCCCCTGAAATTAAAAAAAATGGTGAAAGGTTGAATATAAACTAAATTGAATATTAGCGAGCAATTCAAAGACAAACTCAAACTCATCTCCTTACTTATAGCGCGCTTGAAAGGGTTTGTTATCTGTAACACCATAGCTACAACCTTAATGAAAAATCAAACGTTAAACTTTAACATTCTAGTTCTCTTTGACTTTAAAAAAAACATATATAGTTCTATGCAGAACATAGCTTTTTCTTTTCACAAACTTTTAAGAAAAAAAGGACAAATTAATATTTAATAAATAGTTACCATCCAAAATCAATATACTAATAATGGAAAAATGATTCATTCATTTACAATAAAAGAAGATTCTCATAAATCCAGACGCCAGTTCACAAAACTGGGACAAGAATATTTCCTAAAAAACCATAAATATCAAGAAAAACTATTGTCATTGGACCTATGAAAAGAAAAGTAGAGCACCATCTTAACAGTAAATGACAACGACTTCTTAACAGTAGATGACAACACCATAAACAAAAAGGAATTTATATATGACAACCGCATGGTCAAGATGCCATGAAATTGAGTTCTTTTGCAACATAAAATTGACATAGCAGTATGTGTTGAGGAGGACAGATGGGCAATTACTCAAATCTTTCAAAAATTAAAGTCTCTTCCTACTTAAAACCTCCAAATCAACATCTGTAAAGCAAATAACAACTGAAATATGTCATCTTATATCCAAAGATTATTTAAATCATAGTAACTTAAAAGGTAACTCACCATTAAAGACTTAACATGCATGTTTTAACCTTTGTTTTCACAGGCTTGACCAAAATCAACAATGTCAAATATGAAAATTTCAGTTCTACTTTGTTGACCCTTCCTCTTCAAAATAATAGTTTCCTAAAAACAAATTGATCAAATGTTTTCATGCTGAAAAACAAAAACAATATATGTGCAAATGTTTTAAAACACACAGAGAGAGAGAGAGAGAGAGAGAGAGAGAGAGAGAGAAAGAGCTTTGTGGTGAATGGTGACCGAGATATAGCATTGCAACCACAAAACCGTACCCACTCATCGAAATAGAGATGTTAAATTGTTAATCTTTTAAATAGAGCTAAAAGTAAACTTGTTCCATCTCACTCTTGTAGAATCAAACTCTGTACCATATGCCTACAGAATCAAAATCTTGTTGAATCAAAATTTCTAGTAAGATTCTACCAAATAGATATATTGAGATATAAAGCAAATATAAAATTAACAACACAAACTCGTAGCAAGAATACTCTGAATTCCCTTCACATCCAACATACCTAGCATAAACACACACATCTGTTACACAAACATCACATACAAACATCAGAAAAACATAATTTATATTTCCACAGAAAAAAAATAAAGCATCAATTACCTTAATTTTCATATTACCTTTTGAGATAATGTTTTGTAACTGTACCATTTCTACTGGTATAAATTTAAAATTACCAAATTGCCCCTTCTTAGCTTCCTGGGTTAGTTCAAAACGTTATACTCGTGAAAAAATTAGACGTAGGATATTTCTGCAGTTGTTTTCCTGTTCCCAAACAAATATCTTGAAAAACCCCAGAAAACAAAAAATATATTTTGATCGTGGGATCTGTTGCTGGAGTGAACTGGATCCGAAATGACACAAGCTTCTCTTCAGCATTACTCTTCACTCTCACTGCCACATCATCATCAACCTCTCCCTTCTCAACCCCACAAGTCGTTGTTAGAAAAACATCCAGATAAATACAAGTTCCCGCTAACTCCTGCCGCAGAAGGTTCAATGGCGGCCTGACCCACCAATCACAGTTTGCCATGTGTCAGAAGCAAAAAAGCAAACAACCAAAAATTAAGTGTGAAACTAAACTCACCTTTCCGAAGGAATGTGTTGCAGATCGTTTGACTTCTTTGCAAATCTGCTGCAGCTTCAGAACCATCCGTATTTAAACCGCCGGTCGTCCATCTCACCCGGCAACCGATCAAAACACCTAATCAAAATCATTAAAAGGAAAGAAAAGCAAAATTATTTTCCAGAAAAACTCAATGTCTTCGTTTAAGAGAGGGAAAAATGGATTAGAGTTTGTATTGGGAAATACTGATGGCGATGGGCTTTATAGCAGGGAGGGGACAAAGACGCATCTGATGTGCGATCGGAGGGATATTTGCATACCTGAATGGTTCCTAGGGCAAAAAGTGTGATTCCTATGTTGCGGTGAGTGTTGTATTCAATTCCGACAGAGTCGCTGCCGAGTTTCAGTCCGGTGGCCCATCCGGCTACTACGACGACGTAGGCGGAAGCTTGGCA